CCCCCCCCCCCCCCCCCCCGCAGGTCCAATAAGATAAGGCAGTGGCCTGAAGCCCCTTTACTGTACTAACAAACACCTACCTCCAGACCATCGCTCCCCAGTGTACGTACACACACACAGTCTCCAAACAAGCTAGGAACTCAAAACAAACACTACCTGCACCCTTCTGAACAACACAAAAAGAGACATTGGATTGTCGAGCCGTTGAAGAAAACAGTGACCGCAGCGAGCAAAACCCACCTGCTCGTTTCCATGGCAACTGCTGAACATCTGGATTGCGGAGGAGTGTGGTTGAACACAGACTATGACTATATATATATATATATATATTTTTTTTTTCCACTGGGCAGGTATCGAGTCATCCAAACAACAAAATCAAATAAAGCAAGAAAAGACGAGAACCACAGAAGAAGAGTTTCCCCTCATGTGAGCCAAACCTCCTCCTCCTGAGAGGAGGAAGTCATCCAGAAGGGTCCCGCTGACGTGAAGAAACAGGCCTCTTCCTTTTGAGCTTTGCTTTAAAACTTGGACCCTCACAGGAGTGAAAAAGGTACTTTTGCAAACAGAAGCCGAGCTTTGTGCTCAAAGCGGTGCAGAGTTTACTGATGCAGCTTTTAGTAGTTGAAGCTGTTTTTGCTCCGAAATGGGAAAAACGGAAGAGCAGGAGATCCCGTCTCCCTCTTCTCATAGCCATGTATTAACTGGAGTGATGTTCCCCCTTTTTTTGACTAGACTTTTAAAGTGCGCCCTAGGCCGGCAGGTAGTTATTGTAAGTAGTTTAGATAGTGCATACTTTATTATTATGATTATTGACTGAGCACTAAGGAGAATGAGAGCCGTTCAAGACATTTGCCACAGCTTGTTCTTCACTGCTAACTGTCCATTACTGTTGAGGAATGTTTTCAGCAGTCAACCGCTAACACTGGCCTCTGTGGAAAACGTGTGTAGAGGACAGACTCTTAAAGCTGGTTTACAAAGGGAAGGGGACACCTGACCTCACAGATAACCCGACACCGAAAAGTACAATGTTCTGCCAAAGTCTGCTCTTGCTTTAAAAGCTCATCGTTCCACAAAATTCCCATGTCTCCAATTAGCTGTTGAGTGTGTTTGACACGTTATCGTGTTGGCTTGCTTCCTACATGTTAGAAACAGGACAGATAGTCAAACAAAAAAAGGTGTTTAAAAGGATTAATTAGGCTTTTTTGGGACCCGAGAATATTCATACCACTCCCGTGTCTGAGGTAAATGTGAAGGTACCACTAGCAACCGGCTAACTTAGCTTAGCACAAAGACTAGATGAAGGAAAATGGTTAGCATGGCTCTCTCCTTAAAGGTGAGCAGCCCACTGATTAACACGTCGGACACTGTTTGAATGCGTATAAGATGTAATCGTCCCTCGGCAAGACAGGGAATGAGATTACCAAAATATGTCGGCCTCTGTTCTAGTTCGTATATCTCTGAGGAGACATGAGGCAGCCTCATGAACGAATGATAATCTGCTGTGTCACCTGGCAAACAGTCCCATGCTGCATCTTCATAGTCAGGCCGACTGTGCATCGCTGCCTTTGTAAGCAGATCTGGGATCACAGGTCGTGCGTATTAAACTGTGTTCAGTGCTTCTCCGCTGCGTTGGGTTCACTGGGCAGGAATCAAAGCGGTCCGTCACGTTTGGCTTTAAAGTGGCTTTGTTTTAGCGTGGAGTTTTTTTTCTTAACTGTTCCTTCCTCCAAAAAAACAGCTTGTGTGTACTGTATGTGAGAAGTTGTTTACATTGTGGAAACTGAACCGTTTGTTTGACAAATGTTTTTTTTAAATAAAGAAATTACCAAATAGTCGAGCGTTAAAGCGTTTCATCCACACACACACACACACACACCATCTGAGAGGTTAGGGGCGTGGGTCTGAGGACACGAGCTCTGTGTCGGGCTTTACCTGTGGACCAATGGTTGAATCCCATCTAAAGACTAATACAAGTCTGGTTGTACATCAACACTGACGAAGGTACTGCAGGTGACCCCCACCATGTCTGCAGTGCTTCCACACAACCAAGTGGGCAACTGTCATCGGCCCCTAGGGGCCCCAGAACTTTTGCAGTGTTACCTGCTGGTTCAGTACGATCACGATCACATTGCCTCGATGCTGTAGAACTACATTATCCTCCACATCAACTGCTGTCACAAATGTGACATTACAAGTCTGAAAATTAAACAAAATGTACTTGCGTGTCACGATCCTTTGATCCTCAGGAATACTTACCAGTTGTAAATTCCACACAGGCTTCCACACCTGCAAAGGAAACCGTTAACGCACACTCCTGCTAATGTGGAGTGTGTCCACCCTTTTCTAAAGGCTGTTAAGCTATTGGTTAAAATGTGTTGTCCATTCGTCTTTACAGGATTAAAGCTGTATTGCACTGAAGAGGGGAGTGACATTTAAAACAATATTTTACAGTAAACATCTTCACATGCTGAGCTTATTAAAAACCTTGTTCTCGGGCAGAATGGAGGTTTTGTAAACGGGGAAACTATTGCCCCTGCAGCAGCAAACATGGATCAGATGTGCCTAAATGTCAATAAAATGGAATTATGGTCATGCAATATGACAGAGCTCCAGCTACTAAGTGGACCTTGTGAGACTTCGTGAACTACGGGGCTGGAAGAGCATTTATCTTGCTTTTCTCATTATGGAGTTCAGAGGCAGATTATCATTATATCATTGTTTTTATTACTATCATTGTAATTTTTCATCATTTTGTCTTTGCACAAAAAAAAAACAAATAATACATTTTGCAGGAGCTGATCACCCCTCCCAACCCCAAACCCACCACTACAGTTACAGTTTGCTCAAAACACATTTTAAATCAATGTAAATTACAGCAATGTAAAACGAAATAATGTAAATAAAATCAACCCTGAAAGAGATAATATAACAGCAACAGCCAGAATAATAATTAGAATCCAATACCCAGCACCTTAATACATGAATCAACTTTGAAAGAAAAATCTGACGTATTAAAAACTGAAAGAAAAATAACAAAAACGACAGTGTGTCATTGTGAAAGAAAGAAAAGTTAGGTACAACCAGCTGACGGGACGCAGCATTATCCTCCTTTCTCTGACCCCGCCTGCGTGTGTGTGTTTCTTCTGCTTCGACAAAATGGAGCAACAACGCAAAGCGAGAGAAAGGAAGTGACGTCTTCTGGTTTGTGGTTTTGAACGTGAACATGTGCTCCGATACGAGAACATTTCGGCGAAGGTTTTTCCTGCTTTCTCTTTCTGCTTCAAGCCAGTCTGGACCGATAAGGCCTTTGAACAAAAACAACAGACGCATGAAAAGAAAAGAAAAGAAAATGGCCAAAAACTTGAAGTAGCAGTAGTCGTCACCACCACTATCATCATCATCATCCTTAAATACACTGATAACTGCTGTCTGCACATGGGGGGGAGGGGTTGTGTTTAATCCGATACACTATGAGTTGTGTTAAAGGTGCACTACACCGAAAAGGCAGCAATGATATGATCCGACATGACCCTTCACCCCCCCCAAAAGAAAAAAAAACAAATCTGTACAAACCCCAAAATTTCCAACGACACAAAAAAATATATTATCAAATCAAAAGTAGAAGAAAATAATTCACCGTTCGTCGTTAATTCTTTTTTTTTTCCTCCAGTGATCTTTTATAATACACTCACACTCACAAACTGTTATGTACTCCAAAGACACATTTTGTTGTGTAGCAGAGTGTGTGTGTGTGTGGGGGAGAAACGGGGACAACAAATGCGTCGGTTCAGGGTTGACATTCTGGATATGAAGGCGTGATGCCAACTGAAGTGATACCAATATTAAGGAAAAAAACACAAATAAATCATTCAAGCATTTATGTGCTGACAACAAAAACAAACCCCAAATTTAACTCTACAATGAAAGGCAACATAAAAATCCATCAACAACCCCGTCCACGAGCCATCCTCCCCTGCCCAGTGTCCCTCTTTTCCAGTGCACAACTCTTTTGCTTAAATGCCATAAAAGAAGAAACTAAATAAAAAAAACAAAAAACAAAAGTACGGACTTGAAGACACGTTGAAGCCCGTACGGTCGACGACATCATCATCAAGTCTGACTGGACTCCTCAGACTTGATGGCGTGAGAGGAGAGGGAGGAAAACAAGGGAGTGAAGAGGCGAACAAGATGGATGTGTTTGTGCTGAGTTCAGTTTGAAATTAGATGGAGAGAGGGTGCTGAAGAGTGAGTGTGTGAGGGGTGAGGAGGAGGAGGGAGGTGGTGGTGGGAGGATGGATCAGGTGGATTGTTAAAAGTTCCTTTTTGTGTGGGAGGGGAGGTTTGGGTGGGCGAGTGGAGTGGAGAGGGTCCTTTAACCAACAGCAGCAGTCAAAAATCCATCAATCTGTAGGTGTGTGTGTGTGTGAGAGAGAGAGACAGTGGGCTTCAGCAAACAAAGTCCTGGCTCAGATGGAGTCCATTACGTGTTGGAGGAGGATCAGAACAAATTCAATCAGAACTCCTTTTTGAGTTTCCAGCAAAATAAGGCTCCGAACTTCCTGTCACTCATTGCCACGTGTTAAGCTATTCAGAGAGAAAGTAGAATTTTGTTTTTCCAGCAATTTCTCCACCCTTTTTATCCTCCATCCATCCCCAATTCTTTACCCGGGTCCCCCCCACCCATCCCAAAAAAAAAGAGAGACCTGGCAGCAGGACCGTTCAGACAAACTGAATAAATAGCAGGAAGAAGGGACAGGAGTGGTCAGAGCGATCAAAAGTGTGACTACTAAAAAACAGAGAGAGCAGATCGAACATGCAGAAGAGTGGAACGTCTAAGTAGAACGTGAGAAAAAAAACAAAAACCCAGCAGGGAAGAGAGAAGACCTCGGTCTATAAGTACTTCACAACTCAGAGGAAATCAACTCAGAGCTTCTAAAGGCGGGGCCTCGGGAACTTAAGGAACAAAACTCCTAGAAAAGAAACGGTTCCTAGTCTCAGAGAAGCAATAGCCCTACTTCAGACCTCTGTCCACATAACAATCGTGTTATGTTTTTTAAAGTGATCCCCACCTTTTAGCTTACCTCCACACTGTGCCCCCCCCCCCCACCACCACACCTCGCTTACATCCTCATCCCCACTATCGCCTCCCACCTCCAAGCTTTAATCTCATCCCTCCCCGCGGCTCCTCCGCACTCACAGTTTGAGCTCGTTGGCGATCTTTGAGGCAATGTTCTTGAAGGCGATGGACGTGCCCGAGATCCGCTTGAAGCGCACGCCGTTGAGGGAGAGCCGCGGCAGCTTGCACACCTCCATCTCCCACTGGACGAAGTCGTCGCGCGCCGGGTTGCCCGACACGCACAGCAGCATGTAGCGCTCGCGCAGCTCGTACTCGCAGCTGTTGGAGTCGAGGACCTTGCGGATCTCGCGCATCATCTCCATGGGCTCCATGGACGACGTGGTCTTCATGGACCAGGTGAAGCGGAGCGAGCGCGGCTTGGTCGGGTCCTTCTGGCTGCCGATGGCAGGAGGGGTGCCGGTGCCGCCTGAGAGGAAGGGGGGGAAGAGAAGAGAGAAAGCAAACTTCTGTCACTGACGAAGAGGTTGTGGAAAGATGGAAGATCCCGTCTGCTAAAACTGTGACTAATGAGCGTTGTCACCATCAATGCATCTCTCAGTTGTTCCATAAAGTTGGAGGACTCTTGAGAGCCGCTATGAGGACCCTCCTCTGGACATAAACACTACCCGTGACTGTAGAAATAAACATACCGGTGTTAACAGATCCTGGTGAGGAGTTGTTCTCGTCATTGTTGGAGGAAGAGGAGAGAACGCCACCTGACGTCTTCTCCGACTTGTCCACCGTGCTGCTCAGCATCGACCTGGGTGAGGGATGGGAGGGTGAGGAAGAGGAGGAGAGAGGCGGGGAGGAAGAGGGTGGTGAGGATAAGGAAAAGAGAGAAGAAAAGAAAAGAAGAAAAGTGTGAGAATTGAGAGAATTATTTAAAAAGCAGAGACAAAAAGGGGAGGAGGAAGAGGAGGGAGAAATGGAGGGATGATCGAGAGGAAGAGGGAGATGATGAGGTCATGAAAATGAATGGAGACAAAAAAAAAGCAAAAAAATAAATTTAAGTACCCCTGTGTGTGTTTGTGTGAGCATATCTCTCCGATGTAGATTCACATCTGTGCGTGTGACACGGTGAATTTAAAGTCCGCTTGCACACAAACACACATTTGGGTACTTGAACTCTGATTAACCCCTCACACACACACACACACACACACACACACATGCAGGTCAACCTCCACACCGGCACGCTCACTCTCGGGGATGCTACCATTCACCGCTGGTCTCCCGTCCCCTGATTGGTTAAGCCGTTATATCACCATCACCAACCAATTACACTCCCCCACACCTCTCCCAGCCATTCACAACAAGCTCAGAGATCATCTACTGATTGGCTCCAGTCTACTGATCGGCAGGCGGGGTTTGTTTTTTGGTAGAGTCTGGGGGGGGGGGTTTTTTTTTTAGGGTTTTTTTCGGGCTCTGTATCTCACCTGCTCCCCTCATCCCGACCCTCTCCCTCATACGGACTCCTCGAGAAAAATCAACACAAGTTTAGTCTTTTTGAGGGCTAAGAAGCCAACAACTGGACTCTTACACAGATAGAGGGAGAACAAAAATCAGCCGGCTGAACACCGTCGCGCTGCTCGCCGTGCCCGCCTGAATGTTCCAATCCAACCGAATATCTCATTTGCACTCCACCGACTGTTTAAAATTTAAGTCCAGAGCCACTCAGAGGACTCTACGGCCCACAATGCACCTCCCAAATGCCGGTCCACTGTGAGTGATAAGCACTGTGTCGCAGCTCCTCAATGAGGAGACGTCACAAGATGGGTTGAAAAGAGGAGTCAATAAAAGGAGGCGTCAATAAAAGGAGGCATCCATAACTCAGCGTTTGTATGTGAAGTCATTTTTAGTAACGACTCGTTTCAATGTTTTAAACATAACAGTCACTTGTGTTGTACCAAGGATCAGTTGCTATTTACAGAGAGCTTGTGTAAGCCGCTGCGGGATGGATCAAAAAGTCATGAAAATGTAATTTGATAATCAGAATTGAACTATTTCCAACCAGGAACAGAATGGGAAGGCTTGCAATAGATTTGATTGCAACAGAATGAAATGATGGGAATGCGATGTAATACGGAATGATCCGGAACAGAATGGAATGGCTTGGGAATGTGAGATGGAACGACTCGGACCGGGACGGAATGGTTTGGAACAGAACGGTCGGCACAGTGAGGGCGAGTCGTGCGGTGCGGCTAAAAAAGGAGGTTAGGCTCATTGTTGACCCCGGGCACTGCATTTAAAAACCTCCATTAGTAACATTGGACCTACACACAGGACTGTTTAACAATCCTGTACAACACACATGTAACACACACATGTTCTCTCTCTCATACCAGCAGACAAGACAAACGAAACAAACGTAACAGAGAAACACAAAGACACATGCAGACGATGGAAGGAAAGAGACACACACATGACAAATTCAACAGTTTATGGTCTGAAATTCATTCGGTTGTGGGAAAGACAACATTTTCTGTTTTGCCCCATTTAAAAACATCATGTATAGTACCTTCTGCAACAGAAATATGGTTAAAAATAGAGCACATGGGAAATGACAAGTGGAAAACAGTTACACAAGGATTCCCTAAATAATAAAAGGTGAATTGGTGAACAATGTAAAATTAAGTAATTTGTGCCATTCTGCATGCTCTGTATGATTCAGCTAAATATGAGGGGATGCAAAATGGCTCCCAAAGGAGGGGAACTATGGCGTCAAAGGGCTGATAAGATGATTAGATACTTCCTCTGCCCGCTACATAGACTGCACTGTAAATGCATGCAGCCATTCATATGCTCATAAACATAGTCACCCATCTGTCACAAATGAATACAGATGTATATTTTTGAGGCAGATTCATTATTTCTCCCTCTCATATTTCAAATGTAGTCACTGATGAGAAAGGCTTCATTATTACAACTTGTAACCAGCAGGTGGAGCAACGGTCCAGATTACAAGGAGAAGTGCTCCACCTGCTGGTGAACAGCAGACAACACACTCTAAAGCAAGTGTGTGTGTGTGGCTGTGTGTGCATACATCAATGTAAGTGTGTCATGTATCCATCTGCATGTGAGACAAGATGTGTGCTCATGTTCAGGTTTGTGTGCCTCTGTGCAAATGTGCATGAAGTGTCTTCTCTGTGTGTGTGTGTGTGTGTGTGTGTGTGTGTGTGTGTGTGTGTCCACAGCATAAAAGGTATTTTCCAGCCAGAGTAGGTCAAAGCCATCCAGTTCTGTTGCTGTTAGAGAGCCAGTGCCAGAGTGAAAACAGAGCGACGAAAGAAAGGAAGAGTGCAGCCTCCAGAAAAAGAGTGCAGCCTGAGAAACACTGCAGCTCCGTCCCTCCCGGGTCCTCTCCTCCTCCTCCTCCTCCTCCTCCTCCATCATCACAACTACCAACTGCAGCCACGGACTTCTTATTATAAATCACTTCCCTAGTGGGGATCGTCACAAACTTGCATCACAAAACTAGACACGCGTCTCCGGTCTCCAGCTTGATTTTAGTGACTGAAGCGATGAACGCAGAGGTTTAGATGAGTGGTAGTTTGGCAGGTGGCGTTAGCTGGGATGATGGTTAGCGACGTTAAACAATCCTGGGTTGAATGACACGGCTTATAACAGCGTAATAATCTGAAATCTCCTATCTTCTTTTCTCTCTCATGTGCTTATGGATTTGGATTTTCTATTAACCTCAAAAGAGGCACAACATTACCTGCGTCAGAAGCTAAGAAAGGGTTGAGGGTAGAAAGGGAATAGTTTGATCTATTGCAACATCAAGACTCGACCTGAATCTGGGACGCTACCAGGGGATAAGCACTCACATACACACACATACGCACGCTACCTGGTGAATATGAGGAATATGCATGAGGAGGCATGAGGAGGAGGAGGTGGGTGGGAGGGACGATGTAGGGACAAAGAGGAAGAGGGGTGAGGTGTTATTGTGCCACGTGATGATGGGGTGAGTGAGTTAAGTGAGTGGGTGAGGGCGAAGTTAGTCAAAATGAAATAAATTAAAATATGGGCCAAAACACGGCACGCAACAACCAGAAGGCTCAACAAAAAAGGAGGCCAACCACAGAAAAAATAAGAGAAAAGATGAGGCTCAAGATGTCAACAAAAAGCTGCACGAAACACCAACAGGGGGAGGAAATATATATATATATATGTAAAATATATATGAAGTAGAGAATATACGTATATATATCAAAAGGGGTTATATTTAACGTTGGGGGTGTTGCCTACCTTCTCGGAAACCTGAACGAGAGATTTCTACAAAAACAAAAGAGGGATAAAGAAAGAAAGAGAAACAAACGTATATATAAAAACATATAGATTCAGAGCTTTCCTGCAGAAGACAAAGCTGCCCTCTGAGCAGCAAACTTCAAAGCACACTGTCCAACATGAACCAGGCTGAAGCAGCAAGCACAACCAACATTACATAACCAAAAGGAATAACACAAAATCAGTGTTGAAATGTGAAATCACTGGTGTGAACAGACAATATTAAAACACACAACAGAACACCTTAGGAGGGATTTAATGAGCGGTGTGGAAAAACTATTCCATTAAGAGAACCAGTTTGAACACATCCCCCCCCCCCCCCCTCCCCCCAACAGCAGTCCTGGGTGATCCTGAAAAGAAGTGCTTGTGAGGTGAAAAGCTCAAATGTGACAAAGGTACTGAAAACCACCTCCTATACACAGACAAAGACACATTTCAAATGGAAACGAGAGGTTAAGCAACAATCTCAAATACACAATGAGGAACTTAATCTAGCGCGTACACAATCGTACACACGCGTACACAGGAGAAGCGTCACTCTCCAGATTGAGCAGGAAAATGCAGTGGTGAGGTTATACGATACGTTAATAAAACACATAGCTTTAGTGTATATAAATATATATGTGTGTGTGTTTGTGTGTGGTCAAACTGTACAACACAATCTCTCTGTCTCCACCGCCTCTACTTCCTACAAGCACGCCAAGTTGTGTGTGTGTGTGTGTGTCAAGGTGTCCCCACTAGCAGTATTTATAGTTGAGAGAAAAGTGATATCTCCGGTGTAACCATGGATACTGTCGCCACGGAGCTACAGTATCTCTGAGTGGGAGGGCTAGAGAGAAGATGTGCCTCTACCTCCGCCTTACACACACACACACACACACACACACACACACACACACACACACACGACACTTTGATCGTCCTCGATTTCTGTCGTGTTTGAAGCTAAAACGTCCAGAAACACAAGCAGACACTCTTTCACCCACACACTTCATATTGACCCTCTAGAGCTGCAGCGATGAGGAACATCTGAACCTCACCTGCTCGCTCAGCTGTTCAGTATTTCATGGCTCACTTGGCCCTTCCGCTCTCAGCCTGGCTCTTTCCTGCCACCTTTAAACCTTCACTTCCTGTCCCCTCCTCTCCTCTCCTCTCCGTCTTCCATTCCTCTCATTGTAACACGTTAGCCTCGCTGCTCCTGCGTACGTCTCCACTGCCGTCTTTTACTTTTCCTCTCACTCTCACTCGGACTCAGCTGCGTACAGACGTCATCACCCTTCATACATGAAGTGGATCAAACATTATCTGAGCCTGGAATCTGAGACGAAAACTGGGCCAGACGTGGAACCAAAACCAAAATTACTCCCAGTCACCACCGCTCCAAAACAAAATTATAGAGGAGACGCAGCTGTTGCCTTCCTCCCTTCCTCTCCCCTCTTTCTACTCTCAGCAGAGTTACAGATCAGCACAAGTTTAGTGATAGGGATGAGAGGAGACCCAGTGATGACATGGACGTACGCTGCGTTGTTCTCCAGAGGAAACGAGCACATGAAATGACTCGTAACGTAAACCTAGCAATTTTCTCTATGAAGCTCAGACCTCAATACTCAGAAAAAGCATCAAACTGTACTTGTGCTGCAGAGTAGCTGGATAATAAATAGAACAGCTGCTACCACGACGGCTCTGCATTTACTGAGCTACAAACCTTCTTCCTCTGCCACATGTCCTCTCCTGTCCTGCCTGTCTTACTACTTCTCCGGTTACAATCTTAAACTTTTAACCCTTCCCATTGTCTCACGCTCCCACGTCTCCTTTCTGCCACTCACCTGCGTACAAACTTGGACGTGAACTTGCTGAAAATCCCCGTGGCGCCGTGCGCCCTCCGGGCCTGGCTGTTGCCGTGCGACAGTGACGGGGACGCGGGCCCGCCGGGGTAGGCGGAGCCCTGCTGGTCCCGGGCACCCCGCTGCTGGCCCGCGTGGAATGTGCTGCGGATGCCCACCCCTCGGGAGAAGTTGGTACGGTCCGACGCGGCAGCGCTGCTGATGTTGTGGGCAGATGGGGAGGCACCGGGCGCCCGCTGAGTCGGGGCACTATAGGAGGAGTGGGGAAAGAGAGAGAGGAGGAAAATGGAGCGAGGGATGGTGAAGAAAAGGTGAGACAGAAGGAGGGGAGGGTGCAGAAGAGCAGAGGGGTCAGATGTGGAGAAGAAGAAGAAAGGAGGTGTGAAAAGATTGGAGGGGGGATTGGGAAGAGGTTGGAAGGTGTGATGACAGAAGAGGAGGTGCAAATGTAGAAGAATTTCACAGGAGACAAGAGAAGAGAAAGCAGGAAATAAAGACGTATGAAAGAGGAAGAGTGGGGAGAATGGAATGAACAAAGTGAGGTGTAGGATGAAAAGTAGAAAGAATAGGAAGAAGAAAGGTATAAAAGAGGGGATGGGAGTGTAGAGGAGGGGGAGAGGGACAAACAGTTAGACCAGGAGAGGAAAATCATTTCCTTCTGATGTGCTACTTACCTCAGTGTAAGATCTTACAAGTATCTATGTCTGTTCAACGTCTGCTCGCCCTGATGTTTCAGATAATCCCTCAAGTCAGTCCAGTCAATAAAATCACATAAGGTCACTGACACACACACACACACACACACACACACACACACACACACACACACAGTTAATCCTCTTTACTTGGACCATAGGGCAAAGCATCACTAACCTCCAGCTATCCCCCCTCTCTCTCACACACACAGATAAAGACACACACATTTGCCCACTGCAACTATTTACTGAGTTAAAGGTTTGCATTTGCTTTGTAATGTGTGTGTGTGTGCATCTTCCACGCCAGCGTGTAGCAGCAGTACACCTGCAGCAGACGGTCAACACAACAAACAGAAATGGCAAAAGCACACACTGAAAGATAAGAAAAGGAAAATACAGTAAAAAAAAAAAAAAGCGTGTAATAAACACATGAAGTGGAATAAGTAGAAAAGTGAATACAAAAGGACCGTCCGCTGTAGAGGGCTGCAATGGGACTGGGACACCACACAACAAATGTGGGTCGTCAACATTATCATCGCCTGACAAAATGTTATATGTGAAAATAGGAAAGGCTGTAATTACTAGAATTAAGCATTAAAACCAATAAGCCAGAACATTCAGTTTCAGTTAATTTTATGTCTCTCACTTGTAAAATTCAATTTCAATCGCTCTCTTCTTACACTGGAAATTTAGTCTGTAGCAGAATTATTTTTACCGATCAAGAAGGAGGGGCATCTTTTAAAGACGGGTAGCTGAATAACTGCATCGTCGGTTATTATGTGCCGTTTGTCCCTGAGGGATGAGCTTAGGATTGAACGGTGTATCTGCTGGAGCACGCAGGTCAGAGATCATCTGAGTGAGGGATTGAAAAAGCAGTCCCATGCAGACCCCTTAACGCACTCAACACGACACAGAAGAAAGAGAGAGTGGTGAACAGCTTCAAACACATCCTTTGAGTTGATGTGGATGTGTTGAAGTTGTGCACCGAGGACGAGATACACAACGACACAGCTCTTCTATGCATACGGGTTTAGTGGGGACCTCTGTGACATATTATCGTTATGAAGAGGACTGTTGACTGGGAAGGACTACATGTTGCAAAGAGGAATAATATAATATCTTCTTTGTCTCATCATATGGAAGTATTCCATAGTCACTAAAGGAAAAAGAGCAGTAACAGGTGTGTTAGAAGGCGGTGTGGCGTGAGGTGGATGCACGCTTTCTTTATTCATGGTGCAGCTGGTGATGATTTTCATGCTCGGCGTACTTGATTTGCGGATAGTAGACTGCACCTCTACGTTACACAAATGTGGAGCTGCCTGTGTTCATTACGGTACATCATGAATACTCAAAGCAGGTTTGTTTAAAATAATGGAAATTCATGAGAATGGGATTCGAAACTTTTTTTCCAGAGTGGGACATGCTGGATAAAAAAAACAAAACAAACAGGAATGGGTGGGACTTTCGGGGCACAGGCTATGTACTGAGGAAAAAAGGGGCCTATTCCTCACTTAGGGTACAGTCTATGTGTTGGAGCGGTACCTTCTCTCCAGCGTTCCCAACCAGGTTCTGAACAGCCCAAGCTCACAGCTGAACGACGCATGCAACAGAACAAGACTTCAACATGGAGCAGACAAAAGCACATACAGCCAGAGGTCCACCTTGACATTTTAGCCTGACATTTTAGCCTGACATTTGGGGTGGGGGGCGGGGCTTCACAAGAGTCTAGTTGTCTAGTGACTAGACAAAAAAGAATGTGTGTGCGTGTGGGGGGGGGTCTCTGAGGCGGAAGTGAAATGCCACTTGCAAGTATTTAAGGTGGCAGAAGAACATTTTTAAAGACCTACCACCACATATTGTGACACGTGGCTGAATATCAAAGTAGCCCATGAAGCAGACGCCATCAAGTGGGCGAGCTACACAACAAAGCAACACAACAAAGCACACACTCACAAGTGGAGCAGACAGCAAAGACACACAGATGACCAACGAGACACAGTTAGGTCATCGCTCCTTTTCTTTCATTCACGGAGACGTGCAGCAGTGAAGGCAACGCTGACGAGATGAAGATGGGGTTCTCCCAGGCAACCTGTTAACTGAAGTGGCTCTACGTAACAGACTGAGGCTGTGTGAGAGAGCACTTGCTAGCTGTGGGAACCTTAAAAAGGGACTCCACTTCTTTACACAGGACGGAAAATCACTTGTGCGAGCCAGGGAAAATCCTTTTGTCGACAAACGCAACATGTCAGATTAGTCAGTCATCGAAGAATGTTTTTGTTTTTGACGTAACTGCAAATATTACAACGTCTGTCCCTTGGTTGGTAAGCTACAGCTAACAGATCTCCTCTGTTAACATTGTGCCCCTGATGGCTTAGAAGCTAAAAGAGGAATTTTATCTTTAAAGACTTTTCTCGTTCTCTTCGTCCCTTTAATAACAACATAACATGATCAGTAAATTAGGTTTTACTTTCACAGCCAATAACCAAGCCTTTATAAAGGTCTGGTCTGTTTATTAGCTATTGACACCCCTGCGTGTGGAAACCTGATCCCCGCTGCTCCATAGATATCTCTTCTCTGAATTTGTCTGTTTCTTTCCTGTCAGAGGTACAGCACTGTGAAGAACCTGCTCGTCTTGTTCTCAAGCTCCGGCCACTCAGTTATGGCCCGCTGGGTAGTGGGAGGCTCGAGACCGACTGATTGGCCAAGACAAGAGGCGTCAACATCTCCACACTGAGCTGAGCTTGAACGGCCTTCTGAGTTCCACAATCTACTTCCTGTCTGTTGCTAAGTAACTGTTGAGTCCATGATGGCTGGTCTCAGCAATGCTGCTCTCAACGGTCTCATGCTGTAAAAGGAAAATATATACATAGATAGATACAGGGGCTAGGAGATTTCTCTAAATAGTTTTTATTGATATAATAATATGTGAGGTTATGAAGGCCTTATACACCTGACATGCAGTTGAAAAGGGAATCAAAAAAACAATAGTAATCCCTTTAATCTCGCAGTGATGGAAGACCAATCATTTACCCTTTCTTCATCTCTACTTCTTCATTTTTGTCCATCGAGTTCTTGCGGAAAGGATGATCTGTGCTGAGTAAAGTGGTACGTGCTGAAAGGGGCTGTGAACATGTGTCCGTGAGTGAGAGAGAGTGAGAGAGTGAGTGAGAGACTTGCCTGGGCCGTGGTGCGTGCAGGTCAGAGGGGCATGGATGATTGGAGGAGGACAGGGACTTGTGGTGGCGGATACGCGAGGAGGACGAGGTGGAGGAGGAGAGGACGGCAGCGGCCGAGGCAGTGGAGGCGCGGGAGCCCGGCATGTTTAGGCTGGGAGGAGGGAGGAGGAACAGGAGGAGTGCCCCGCCCAACGCACGCACACACACACACACACACACACACACACACAGACGAACCGAAAAACGTGACAGACGCAGGACAAACACACGTCACACAATCAGACGTACACGCGAGCGTGACACATACATTCACAAACACCGGGCGGGGTTTGTGTGTGGATGGGCGGGGTGGGGGGTGGGGGGGTGGAGCATGGTTAGAAGCAGCACTTATCAAACACGGTAAGGGGGGAGAGGGAGGGAAGAGCGGAGGAAGTAGAGACAAAAAAGAGACAGAAACACAGCAAAAGGACTCGAACAAAGAGGAAAAGTTGGTCTTTTTTGCTGCCAACGTTGCATCATCGTGGTTTCACAAAAACAACAATCACAAACCACGAGTCAAAGGCTTACTGTGTTCCTTTGTCTTTTCATGCGAGATCCACATGAGCACAAAAGACCAACTTTAACACACTTTGGCTCGAAAGACTGAAAACACACTCGAGACAGATTGTGGACAACGTCAGGTTCCTCACAAATCACCACATAAAGACTTCAGACAGCCCAGTGTTTCACTAGTCCTCCTCAGCAGGTTTCAATATCTGAAAAGATATATTATCAACACAGTTTGAGGTGTAAAACTAACATATTTCTTACGAACCCCTTTCACTGTGTGAATAGTTATCTTTAAATCCTTGCTGCTTCTTTCTCTGTTTGTCATCTTTGTAAGAATTGTTCTCTACAAATAAAGTTGTATTATATTGTGTATACAACATAAAGTTTTGCTGTTTTTTTTTTCTTGTTCAATCACTTCATCAAGAGAATGATCTGCAGATGAATCAATCTGAAAGGTGGTCTTAAATTGCAACACAAGACATACAGTCAAAATCTGAATTCAAACCATTTAGCGTCTGGTTTTTCTCAGGAGACAATGGGCATGTTAGGATGCGGAGCTTCTCCGCGATGACACGTAGATGTTTGTGAGCTGCACTCACTGTCCTGCTGTGACATAATCACTCTGACCTCCGACCTCTGCGTTTTATAGATGTAACCCGTCTCGTGACTTCTTCTGCCTGTCAAGTCCCTCACTTTCCCTCTCCAGTCCCTTCCTCTTCTTTTCTACTGCCAACAATCTAAACTAATATCCGTAACAAAGAAGAGCTTATTGAGTTACTTAAGCAAAGAACGCTGGCTGTTTCCTAATCAGCAAGGTTGCTACAGGCTACAAAGCTCTGCACATTACTGACAGCTCCAACTTGACTTTGTCCACACACAGAGAAGGCGACACAGTAAGAGACGGGGGAGAGTGGTACCAGAGGGAGGGAGATAGATGAAGAGAGAGACATTTATAGAGATCAACCAAACAACTGTTAATTACACAGAAAACAAACACATAGCTGAGAGAAACGCACGCTGTTTCTGACAGATTAGTACGGCTGGTGATGGAAAAAAAACAGCATTTACTGGACGACCCGGTGTGTGGCAAGAGTTAGAGCATGTGTGACATGTATGTTTCAGCTTGTGTGTGTGCAGCCTCAGTGTGTGTGTGTGTAGATATTCTTGTGTATGTGTAAGCCTATTAAGAGGCAAGTACAGAGACCATATAGAGCCGGTAAGAGTTAATATTCCATCACAAGTCTTCCTAATCTCCTTAGAGAGAGAGCGAGGGGAGAGAGAAAGAAAGATTAATATAAAGACAAGAAGGAAAGAAGGAAGCTAGGAGAGAGGGGAAAAAAAGGAGTTGCCAAGAAAATGTGAGTGACTTAAGATCCAGAGGGACGAGAGCTCAGACGCAGATAAAAGAACACCAAACGTAGAACATTAGAAAAACACAGAAAGGGAAAAAAGGAAGATTGGGGATCGGGAGGGGGTCTAACAAGTATAAAAGCCAAAAACTTCAAAGCATTAATGATGGATCAAATAAAGTAACTTCAAAATCAAAGCAGATGACAACCACTAAGTTAGCAAAGCTAATAGAACCATAGTGCTAAAAAACACACACCCACCCAATGCTGTCTCAAATGACCACATCGTCACTGTGCAGTGCTCAGTATGAAGGACGATGACAAAAGGGAAGAACGACTTATCAGACTGACCGGCCTGAACGTGGACTCAATAATATTTAATGTTGTGAGTCGTGCACTATGTTGGAAAACGAAGGGGTCATTTGAGACTGATTCATGAATAGGTAATAAAGCAGTAATGACAATGAAGACTGCGTGGTAGCAGGGATTATGCTTTGGCTTAATGTTTAATGCTCGTGAAGAAGCACACAAAGCATATGGCTGGTTAGGCATGAGCGATGTGGGTGTAAGTGTGGACGCTTACGAGGCATATTCAGCGCCAGCGGCCGACGATCCCGCTCATCAAACTCGAGGACTAACGACGTATCGCGTAAAGGTGGGTTTTTAATGGCCTAAAGTGAGGAGGGAAGACTCCGCAATAAAGCAACTCCAAAATGGACAACACGTCTTTGTCCATTGTTGAGTTGTTTAAATTTAGGAAGTATGAAATGAGAAAGGCAAGGGAATGTCACCCTTTGACATTTCCCAGTACAATTAAAGACGGGTGAAAAAGAGGGGGAGCTTGAGCTATAGCTAAATCCAATGGTAGACTTCATGTCACTTGTTGTACTGTATTAATGCTTTTTACTACTAAAATATTATTTCCTTTTTGGTCTTTTGTTTTTTTTATACCTTCTAAAACCTCTAACCGTCTATCCTTGATTTCACTTCGAGCATAAACTTTGATTAAACTACAAGTTTGTGGAAGTCAAAGTTCATTCAAAAAAGAATATTTCACTAAAGGAACAGAAAGGAGGACAAGAGTTTAAAGGACAAATGAGGTCTCCGTGTGTCAGCATATGTCAACCTGTGTGTGTGCGTCCATCGAACCTGGCCTCGGCTCTGACTGGCCATCCTCCATCAGACCATCATGGGTATAATCTACTGGAGGTTTGTCCTAAATTCTCAAGGGAGCCTGGTTTCCTTGTCCAGGAGGGCTCACCCCAGCCCCGGGGTAAAGCTGCGGGCCGTCCCTGAGCCAGCTGGCAGAGCTCTGGAGAGCACCAGCCAAGGCCTGGGATCCAGTCACTAAGACAGCTGTGGGACCGCTTCATTCACAAACCATGGAGAGTGTGTTTATATTATGTGTGTGCTAGCGAGGAAGCAGGGTTGCCTCACTGCAACTACTTGAGTTGCTGATGACAAGAGAGAAAGAGTGTGTGTGTGAAAGCGGTTGTATGTAACTGTAGTTGCCCATCTTTTTACAAACATCTCCATTGTATGTATGTATGTATATATATATATGCGTGTGTGTACCTGTCCTTGCCGTTCTGGATGCCCTGACCCAACGTGGCTCTCTCCGTCAGAGGAGAGTTCCGACTGCGACCAGTACCGGTGGACAGGATGCTATTCTGAGGGGAGAGGGGCACAAATTAAGAAGAATGTTAGAAACATGGAAATGTTTCAGACTGAGGATGGTTAGCAGTGGTCAGAGGACAGAGAAATGACATTGGAGGTGACCAATTATTACTTTAACAGCCTCGAGCAAGCTTCCCGATCAGCACGGACAAGTGACCTTAATTGCCTGAACATTAATTAAGTCTTCACTGCACAATCACGCAGTGACAAATCCAATTCATTTTCCCCCAGTATTATTTTGGGGGAATTGTCATTTACAGGCCCTGCGCTCCCACACAGGTGTTTTCCACTCCGCCTCACACACAAGCCATTCGCTCAGAATGAGGTTGGGTGGAGCTATCTGGCTATTACACAATATCCGCAAAGTCCACATACTAGGTCATAAAAATGATATAAGTCGAAGATGCCCTAACAGGGTGCGACTGAATTAACAGTAGAGTGACAGAGATGTCAATGAAAAACAGTCTGCACACGCCCACATAGTCCTGAGAGGAGGCCTCATCGGCTCGTGTTAAATGAAAACAGTGCAGGAGAACCGGGGAGAAGGGACTTTAAATTTCACGTGGCATTCTACACACAATCTGCATTTCAAATTATTTTGTTGGCTGACATTGTTGAGGACGTTATAATACAGCCTTAAGGGTTCTTAAAGTGGTGCCTAATAAGGGGATGACAGAGCTGGGTGGTACTGAGCGATTACAAAAAAGGCATTTTCACAGAAGACATTTTGACATGTCACTGTAGGAAAAAGCACAGGTGCAAATAAGAAATTGAATGATGGTTGAATTCCAATTAGCTGCTTCAGTGTCAGGTTCCTCGTGGATGCTGAGCTCACGGTCTTACTGGGACGTCTAAATACAGGAATAATTGACGCTACTACCTGGGCTTTTTTGTTACTATGACAAGTCAAAGTGTCTGCTGTGAAAAAGAGACCAATAGTTTCTCAACAATGTTTTTTGGGTGTGTATAATTAGTGCACTTCAGCTAGACAAATATAATGAGTCCAGAAATTGACATCCCGTAACTATAATGTGGTTGTGAGACAAAGAAAAACCCAGTCAGATAGCATAAACATCACCAAGCATAACCGTGAACATGATGCACACTTCTACTGTCTTACACTATGAAGACCATCATAGTTATATGGGCATGCATTTCAATTAGTTTAATTAGTAACGAGCATCTGTTTTGATCTTTGGACCACAGATTAAGATAATATACGGCTGAACTTAACTTACACTAAAGACTTTCCGAATAAAAACTAGCTTTCAAATTTCTCTAGAATTTCCCAGCAGATGTTTTCCTATCAACCCACATTTGGACAAAGTTGCTCATGGTGGTTCCCTCCAATTGCAGTGTGTATTTAGTTTGTCTTTGTGGCTTTGTGTGTCTGTATTTGGTAATGACGGCGATGATGCTCTAATGTACTTTTTCATAGAAACTTTGAATGTTGCAAATGTCGTGTAAGCAGCGTGGGTGTGTGGTCTCACGGTGGAGGGCGTAGCGCTCTTCTTGCGGTCAGAGGGGACCAGAGGACTGGCCGGCACCTTGGTAGTGGAGCTGCCTGACGAACCTTTCCTCCCAGAATCTTCTCCTGCTGTCCGGTTGTCTGTTCGATCCCCCCTCTTAGAGTAGGAGGAGCCTAGAAAAAGACAGAGTGGGAGTGTATTAGAAAGGCCGTCACTTGCTGTGCTGTAGCCCGGGACATCTTCCGTCTTATCCCCATCTGGATAACAACCTCCGAATACCTTTATTCAATTATTTACTCCACCTGCTTCAGTGTGGCAGGACTGGAGACTATCCCAGTGTGCACCAAGATTGAAAACATATGATTCAATTTAAAAAGGTGTAAAAAATAGCTTCCGTCCACTTCTCGTAACCCTCTCTGACACACACACACACACACACACACACACACACACACACACACACACACACACACACACACACGCCCCTTCCTCTCCCAAACACACACACAACTCACCGTGGTCGGTGGCTCTGCGGTTCTGAGGCTTCTGGTTGGACGACACACTGCGCTGCACCTGAGAGAGACAAAGTGGACGTGCAGGTCAGTGTGGTATTTTACATGTCAGAGCTGTTGATCCATTCACACGGGAAAGCTACAACACTGCTGGTTGCGTTGGTTCACCTGTACCTGTATGTAGGTCAACAGTCTAAAACCTCAAAATGAGCTACACCAGAGAACACCCCCAAAGTGTCACTCGTGTCACTGGCTGGAGTTGGGAGACCTCGTTATGTTTTAGCAGAAGACATTATGTGTTCTCATTGTACCTTGTGAGGCGGGGAGGGGGCGTTTATGTTGCTTACATCAGATCCAGGCCGGGGCTTGATGCCACTTTCATCCAGCTGAGGGGGAAGAAAGAAAAACATGGAAATCTGGATATGAGTATCGGGAGGAGACGCAGAGAGACTGTGGTGAGGATACAGCAAACACAAAGGACTAAAAATAGAGCTTTAAAAAAAAAAAAAAAAAGAAGCATAAATATATATAAAATTCAGAGATGAGAGCAAATTGTTTGTTCTGATGATAAAAGTGAAGCGCTACATTTTCTTGTACACATTGATGAACTCACAAGAGCTGATTTGGTTGACAGTTTCCTGTTTAACATCAGTGCACCTGCAGTTAAGAGAGCTCTGACAAACCAAGACTAACTGGCATGGTACGATGTAAAATAAAGGCGTGTAGGTGTGAGGAAGAAACCGTGTACCTCAGAGTTCCTATAGTCCAGTAGCAGGTATGCAGCCATCACATCATTGTACTTCTGGTTCACCAGCGAGTCCTGGATCTCCTCCTGAGAGAATCCCATCGTCAGCATGATGTCTGCACACACAAAAGCATAATTAGAATTCCTGCAGGTCCATAACTCTCCTGAAGATGAATGTGTGTGAGAGGAGAAAAAAAACATATTAATAATAAATACTTATTTTGGTGCGTTTCTGTTACTACCTGTCCTCCTGGGGTCTTTATAATCTGGCTGGGGTTCGATGTAGGGTTTGAGTTCTTCCTCCTCGTGCCCCACATTCATCCACCGGTCCCGCATTATCTGCTGCTGGGAGGAAGCCAACACAGACGAAGGGAGAGGGGAGAAATGAGATTTCAAATGCAACAGACGGGGCAAAGAGCAAAGGTTACAGTGCCAAAGAGGAGAGAAGAAAGAAGACGGAAGAGATCCGTTCAAAAGAGTCACCTAGAGACAAATCGGTGAACAATGGAAGGGATGCAGAAGTCCGATAAACTTGATGAGTTAATTTGACGTTATTGATCCGTTTGCTCCACTAATCTTAACAATTATTGAGTAATCAGCGGGGTAAAAACTGAAAGGGAATACTGAACCATATCAATCTGTTGCTTAGAAATGTAGAGAAACTTTAGGGTAGGTGTAAATGAAATAGTCACAGGACTAAATTCCAACACTAAAGCTAGAGTCTTCTTTCTATAATCATACAAGGCTGCCTTAACATTTAGTACGCCAAGAAGAGACTGGAGAAATGTGTTTAATCCAAAATGTTGATGGGAATCTGGTGCTCAGCAGCAGATAGTTATCTACCTTGTCTTCTTATTTTTGCTAATACCTTCCATATAAAACTAGTTCTGGTCCAATCACCTCTCAGTGAAACCACATATAGTCACTCATAACTCCCAAACTAACACGTATTTACGATGCCTTTAAAAAGCCCTTTACACTTCAGCAACAAACTCACATATAGCTGGTGAAGCGTGTCTGGGTCTACAGTATAGTACTGTACGTGCTACATACACCATTACATTAACAACTCAAAGACCAGTGGTCGAGCTATTCGGAGATGGAAAAGTTTCATTTAAGTTTTTGTCAGTCCGCAACTTTTTTTCCGAAATAAATATAAAAGATTTTAAATCAAGTGATCGAATGATTTATTTTTTATGAATCCAAAGCAGCTGAAATCAATTTGATAACAAAACAATAAGACGCAATGAAAGCATTTTTAACACCATCCAGCTGTGTCTAACCAATGTGGTTTTTGAGTGATTATCGTGTGTGTGTGCGTGTGTCTGTGTGTGTGTGTGTGTGTATCAACAAAGCGCAGTGTACCTCGAGGCTGCCTCTTTTGGAGGGGTTCAGAATGAGGAACTTCTTGAGCAAGTTCTCACAGTCGGTGGACATGTAGAAAGGAATCCTGTATTTACCACGCAGCACGCGCTCCCTCAGCTCCTGGAGATGGACAAGAGCGTGAAAAAGTCAGCGGCAGAATCTGAAAATCCAGCTTCAAACATAAACACGATCCTGTATCTCATCGGTTTATGTGGTTTAATATCATGTGGCTTGAATTAGCCAAGCAGCGCCATTAAACTTATTAACCCTCCACTGGAGGGTTCTTTAACAATTTATAATTCTAATTTAATGAGACACTGGACAATAATGACTGCTTTTAACACTGCTGTAATGTATGCGACACGTTCTTTAGGAGCTCTCAGTACATCGTGAGGCATTGAATTAGCATAAATAATCGATCTAATTAAAAGTGCTGGGGCTTATAAAATGACATCTGAAGTTGTACATTTTGCACTTTTTTGTCTGTGCATCACATTGACACATTTTAAAGAAGGGAATACCTTTTATCATAGCTATTCAATTCAGAAAACAGTGAGGCTCCTATCTGTTAAATACATAGTCACACCAGTAATGCAAGTGTTAAACCAAACCACATACAGCAGGACGTAGTGCAAAGGTATACTGTACAAGCCTAAATATTAATATTGTCACATTCAAAGTCATATATTGCCCACTCAAAACGTGTCTGCACTTCCAGAGTGACTCATGTGGGTACTGACTGAATGCAGGGTGTGATAGGTGGTATGAATAATTGTGTTAAAACTATAGTTCACAGTGCTTCAACCCAACAGGTTTCAGAGCCTGTTTGGTGCATCAAACCACCAAAACCCCGTTTGAAGACAAAGCACTTGGGTTGGCATTTAAATCACTTTTACACATTCACTCTCTCTTCAGCTTCTGCATTCTGCAGAGCAGAAGGAACAGAAACCGGCCTGACAAATATTACAACCACCCACAGAATAGACATCCTCTTATGTAATGCACGCGCACGCGCACACACACACACACACACACACACACACACACACACACACACACAC